TAGAAAGCTTTTACGTTGGCATAGAATATACATTCAGAAAAGTATGTGCACTTCCGGTAAGTGCTTGATGGATTTTCATTAACTGATCAGACTTGTGTAACCAGAACTTAAATCAAGAAATAGGATATTACCAGCATCCCGGAAGCCCTCTCCTTGTCGTCTTCCAGTGACAACCCTGTCTCTCTCTCTGAAGGGCCACTGTCCTGACTTCTGTCAGCCCAGCCCCCTTCTTGCCCTTCTCTCCTCCCCCTCTTCCCCCTTTTCTGGTTATTATTTTGCTATTCACCTGTGGATTTATTCCAGTCTATCTTTTAAAAAATCAGTTGGGTGAAATTCACATAACAAAATTAACCACTTTAAGGTGAACAATTTGGTCGCGTTTAATATATTCACAATTTTGTGCAAGCACCACCTTTATCTAGTTTCCAAAAAATTCCATCGCACCATAGTAAAAATCCCTTACCCCGTAATCACCTTCTCCCCATTTGCCTTCCCCCAAGCCCCTGGCAACCACCACTCTGTATTCTGTTTATATGGATTTATATATCCTGGATATTTCATAGAAATGGAACCACACGATATGTAACTTTTTATGTCTGGCTTCTTTGACTTAGCATAATGTTTTGGAGGTTCATCCACTTTGGTGTATGTGTGTGTGTATATATATAAAATCAATACTTTATTCTTTTTTATGGCTGAACAATATCCCTTTGTTTGAGCCTACCACAATTTGTTCATCTATTCATCTTTTGGTGGACATAGGGGCTGTTTCACCTTTTGGCTCCTGTGAATAATGCTGCTATGAACATGTGTGTAACATGTACCTGTTTGAATAACTGCCTTCAATTATTTTGGGCATGTAAGGGTTGCAATTCCTTGACGTCTTCACAAACAGTTCTTATTTTCCGTTTTAAAAATTATATCCATCTTTTGTCTTTAATCTTTAGAAAACTATCTATTCACATTATCTGCCCATTTTACATTGGATTCCTTTGTGTTTTATAATAGTTCTCTATATATTCTTGATAAATGACTTGGAAATATTTTCTTCTATTTCTTGATAATGCCCTTTGGTGCATGAGTTTTTAATTTTGATTTTGATGAAGTCTAAATTTTGTTATCCTCACTTATCCTTTTGGTGTCATAGCTAAGAACCCATCACCAAATTAAAGGTTATGAAGATTTATTCCTATGTTTTATTCTAAGAATTGTATGGTTTTACTTTGTATTTTTAGGTCATTGACCCATTTTGAGTTAATTTGAGTATATCGTGTGAGGTAGGGGTACAACTTCATTCATTTGCTTGTGGATATCCCGTTGTCTCAGCACCATTAATGGTGCTTTGCTTATTTCTGTACTTCATAAAGTGGAAATGACATATGCATTTCTTGTGTCTTGCTTTTTTTGTGCTCAACATGATTTTTGTGGGATTTATTCATATTGTTACATGAAGTTGTAGATCATTTCTTCTCATTGCTGTATAGCATTTCAGTGCATTGATATATACTAATTATTTGCTCAGCATACTGCTGATGGCCACTTGGGGAGTTTTAAAATTTGGGCTACCACAAACACGGCTGCTATACACGTTCTAGAAACCGTCTTATTATCTATCCATTTCTGATGGGTGTACTTCTAGAAGTGGAATTTCTGGGTCTTAGGGCATGTTTATCTTTAGCATTAGATACTGATTCTTTCTAAAGATGGCATCTAAAGATGCTCTCCAACCCAGCAGCTGTACTGGGGACCTGGAATGTTTCAAACACCCACCTCCTCTTACCTTAGGTAAACTCCACCTTTATGCCCAGAACTCTCCAGGCTCTCTATCGCAAAAATGTTTCTTAGATTATTACAAGGGTTGTCTTTCCCACCCCAGCTGGTCAGTCAGAAGATAGGGAGGTTAGAGGAGTGCACATGACAAGACCAGTGCCATCCCAAAAACCAAGATTCTGCAGCTTTTGGCAGAAATGCTCACTTTGCAGCAGTCATGGTACAGACTGGTCCCTTGTTCAAGGGGATCCGGATAGCACAAAGGTGATTAAATCTCTAATTCTGGTCAAGGAGAGAAGGTACTGGCCAGGGAGGCAAATGCGGGGCTCTGTGGCCTGCATGATGTGTAGCCTGGAGAATCTCCTCTTCAACGCAAACTTCAATTCATCATTTGACAAATAAAAAAACTGTACCAAACACCGAAAGAAAAGTAGAGCATTTATATGGCCAGCGTCCTTCCCATTTCCATCGTAGGCAGCTCCTCATGAAGCAATAAGCTCAGAGAGATGACTTGCGCAAGGTCCCATTCCTCTTTTCCCTGGAGCCTGGATATATTGTGAAAACCTTTCTCAACCCAGCACTGCAATCACTACCAGTCAGTCTGTGTTGAGATTAAGTTGAAATAATTGCCATCCTTGGAGTATTTAAATAATGGTGTTTTTGGCCCATTTAGGACAGAAATTATAACTCCCATTCCATGAATAAGGCTACTGAAATCCCAACAGGTGGAGAAAACTGCCGCATCTACATAACTAGGCTCCCAGATCCCTCCCGAATCCATTCTGACACCTTCCCCAAAGCTTTCCTCTCCAATCCTGAGACCTCATCCTGGCAGGACCACAGAGGGGTCAGCAGGAATATTATTTGATATCACACACATGATAAAAATAACTTGTGTTTTTATATTTTCCTGATAGCTCATCTTAGAAAATAGCTCGATGTCCCCATCCCCATATTTTACTATTTAAAAGGAAATCTAATTAGAACCCTACTTTCTGCTCAAATTTTCTATAAACTCAAAACTTCTCTAAAAAATAAAGTTTATTAATTTTTAAAAAAAGGAATCTGAAGTCAGTCACTAGCGGTGGTGTAGAAAAGAGTTTCTAGAATCACAGAACGTGACACGCTGCGGGTCCTTTTGTCCAACCTCACCATTTAATAGCTGGGAAATATCCTCTGCCCGCCCGCCGTTACCACTTCATCCAAATGGCTCTTCCCTGGACTACACAGTGTCCTCTGACGCCCTACATCTGCCCCTCCCTCCCTCAGTTTTCTCTTTCACACTGCCTTCTAAGGATCTTCCTCAGCCACAGATCTGATCATGCAAAGTGCTTTCCAGAAAACCATCCTATGGTTCCCCAGGCTGTTGAGATAATGCCCGGAACCCTCAGCATGGCGCACAGGTCGGTGCCCTCCGCATCCTCTCACTGGCCCGCTGTTAGCCTCTCTAGGTACTTTCTACGTACACTGGCCTGTTACTCAGTTTCTCCAGAGCACCGTGTTGGTTTTCTTCCTTAAGATGCTACACACCTGCTGGTCCCATTTGCTAAACACACCACGTGCCTTTTCCACACTGCTGACTCCTCCGGCCTGAGAAAAGACATGTGCTCGCCCCAGGGCTCAAGGGGCAGATGTTCCTTGAGCCTGGTTTCCCTGATCCTTAACTCAAGACCTCGTTCCTTGAGAGAGTTTAAAGCTTCCACTCGGGGAAGCCAGGCCTCTCCAGGGCCGACGGCCAGGGAGGCTGTGCTTTGACCCGGGCCCTTACTGTTGGCGTTTGGAAGAACTGGGTTTACCAGCGCCAGCGTCGCATGATAGAATGTCATCCCCATCTTTCTTTCTTCTGTAAAAAGGCTTTAAAACCACATTTCTAGTTAGACAAACTCTAAACCTTGGGTGACAGATGTGCATAGGTTTGTATGCTGTTTCTGCCTGTTTTCGAGTAAGAAGTCATTTTACCATTTGGCAGATGAAGCAACTAAAGCCCATGAACTTTTCCATCACTGCACGTGTGTGCCCGTGTGCCCGTGTGCACGCAAAGGACACTAGAAGGAACGTTTCTTGTCTCCCGCGAGAACTCTCTGCCCCGCGGCTCCCGGTCTCTGCCAACAGAACCAGGGACTACAAAAGTCCTATTAAGGCTTTCTCACTTAATCTTTCTACCTGGGAAAAACTCGCCTCTTTTCATGAAGCTGTTCTTTATTTTTGGTTTCAGTCTTCACAGTGAATCCAATAAAACTAAAACTTTAATCACTCATCTCACTTTGGAAATAACCAGTTACCTGGCCGATCGTAGCAGTGCCCTCTATTTCATTTTATTATTTTATTTGGTGTCCTCCCATGTGTCCCTTAGTGGGTTGGCCAAAACACCTGCTACGGGAGTTCCGGACTTCCCTACGCGCGCCCTTTTATGCGACTCACACGGAGATCCCGAGACTGCCCTTCTGTGCAGAATGCAGCACTTCAAGCATCGTGTATTCTGAGCGTCCTGTGGTTGAACTGCAGGCGCCCGCGCAGCACAAGCGCCGGGAACCTCGCTCCACGGCGGCGCCTGTGCGGGCGAGAGCTTTAGTGCATCTCGTTTTTATTCTTAACAAAATTAGTGTCTGATTAATGCCGCCACAAGCAGCCCATCTCGTCATAACCAGAGCAAGAATTAATATGTCTGTCGCAGTTTTAGAAACTTTGCGTGTTTATCTTACTCTAGCAACAACCTCATGATGTGGGTATTTTATTTTCATTTTACAAATGGGCAAACTCTTTCTTAGAGCAACTAAATAACTTTCCGAAGATCACATAGCTAAGTAGTGATAAGATTTTTTAAAAATGAGATTCAATATGTAGCTCAGAAAAAGCAAAACTTCAGTCTTGGCTGCAGGTTCATTGGATGAACTGGATGACCATGATGCAGAGAAAAATTAAAATAATGAACGTGCTGGAAGCGTATTGTTGGAGAGCATTCAAGAGGGCAGGCAGGGCTGGAGTAACTTTTATTTAGCTCCCTGAAAACTGCACTTTCTTAAAAGATGTGATAATGTTTTTCCCTGTTTGCATATGCAAAATGGAGTTGCTCTCCAGGAATCGTCTGTGGAGATCAGATCAGGTGCACATGGGATTCATGCTGCCTTTGATTTCATTCCAGGCCCTGGGGTTTTCTTCCTGGGATTTTAGTGTATATCTATGAGAGTCCATTGATTTCCACAGCAGACAAAAAACACACCACTCCATACTGAAGCATACAAGCTATTATATATTTTCATAATATAGAACTTTAAGGTATAGTAATCAACAGTGGCAAAATATTTCTGTCTTTGACATTAGTTTTTTTTGTGAGATCCAACCTGTAATTGAGACCAGAGAAAACAGTATGGAAAAACTAATCCATGAGAACAGGATAAAAATACCATGAACAGCAAAATATGTCTGAGTATTTAAAACCGTATAGAAAAAATAAATTAGATGAACAATTGTGTAAATATAAATTAAAAAAGATGACATTCTTAATAAATAAAGTTTACTATTTACATTTTTATATATTGCTAAAAGACTTAACTTAGATCCATAAAAACACATAAACAGGAAAAATAATAAAACCCAAAATAGGAGCAGCAAATTTATGCGCGTGAGGTACAGAAAAAGGATTGGAATCGTGTTTTGGTTTCGGTGTTTAGATTTTTTTTTTTCCTTTTTCATAGGAGGCCAGTAGAGTTCTCATGAGAACAGATTTTTAAGCACTTCAATGGAGAGCTATTTTTTGGTAGTTTCCAGAAGGTGCCAAACAGATTTCAACATCATAATAATTAGAAATACCCATAATAATTATAACAATAATAAAAAGGTATAATATGGTACATAAATATGGAAGAGCAGTTTGTAATATGAATACATTTTCTCTAGACGAGATCACAGTTTTATTTTGTAAATATTACATTTAAGTATATATATACACACATATATGTACAACTATATATACATGTGCATATATATGTAAATTTATATTTATATATAATATCTTTATATAGATAGGTATCTGCGGACAGGTTATTGATTATAGAGACCCAAAAAAGCAACTCAGTAATTGTTCAGAACCCTCCTTGCTGACTGCTGGTGTCTAGTTTACGAAGCCCCGAGGTGTTTGCACTCAGAAAGCCAGATCTTCTAATGAAACACTCGGGAAAAAGAGATCTGAGGGACTCCCTTCCTCCATAAAGTTGGAAATGGCCTGGAAGTATTGAACAGACAACAGTAAATGGGCTTTTACTTTGCAGGAAGTAATTGGCTATGAGTCAAATTGTAGACCTGGTCAAGGCCAGGATAAGGGGGAAAAGTCCAGTTTACCTAAGGATGAAATATTCCCCGATACAAGCCTCTCTTTTAACACGGACACTCATCCAGGAGCTCCAGCTCTCTTCCTTGGAATACCAAAGGCGCATGCGCCGTCTACCCTAAAAGGCCAGCAGTCTGTGCACTCCTGAAAGGGGGACCCACGAACTCTGTGTGCAGCCTTGGCTCTCACAGCTCGCCACAGCCTGTGTAAAACCTCAGGGCCTCACAACTCCCCGGCCTCCCACTGTGAGGTAGGTTAAATAGTATTATCCCCATTTTGCAGCTGGAGAAACTGAGGCAAATGGAGAGGCGATTTGATGACTTGTTCGAGATCACAAAGCAAACTGCTGCCTGGAGTCCAGATTTCTAGGTTCTTATTCTAGGGACATCATTCCTGCTTTGGCTATTAAACATTTCCTTTACAGACCCAACAAAGGGTAGGGATTTGGCAAAACTTGAATGAATTTTAAAAAGAACAGGCTCTTCGTGTGCTGTTAAGTTTTTATGTTTGTTGTTTGCTTGGTTTGTTTTGTTTCTCAAAGCCCATGGGAATTACCTGCCTGGTCATGTAGCAGCTCTTTAGGAAAGTGGACCACTCAGTGTGGTTCTAAGTACAGTCTTTGTAAAGCTCAGGGCTCTATTGGGAGATACACACATTTTATAATGTGAAAAGCATGTCCCCTTAATATCTGGTGAGACCAATCGCAAGCTCTCCCACTCCTTACGAACACAGATTGCCAACAAACAGACAGAGAAAACGCTTCCCCAACGACGACTGCACATCAAGGGGGGTGGTGCCCTATTTCCTGGACCTACCACAATGTACAGCAAATAGCAGTGTAATAAAATCCCACTCTGTGTCTCCTGCCAGGGAAATCCTGATGCTTGTGTCTACCTACTCAGTCTGTAGAATAAACAATTCTCTTTAGGAAGCACAAAAATAGTGTTGTTGTTGTTTTAAATTCTTATTTCTAATCATGCATATTTCCTTTTCATGTCCTTGCCTTCTATTAATTTCTATCTGTAGAGTTTTGTCACCATCAATTTCTTCCTTTTATTTTTACACTTGAAGTAGTTCCAGAAAAAACATGCACAAAACCTCAAAACTGGTCACTTTTGAAAGTACTGGTTTCCTTTCTTTCTTCCCTCCTTCCTTTCCTTGCTTTCCTCTCTTTCTTTCTAACACAGGTAAGACCTATAACAAATGGACAGTTACAACCAAGTTAAATCAAACCTGGAAGGGAGGTAGCTGAAATCTGTCTCAAAGAATTATTTTCAACAAATAGCATTAAAGCATTGGCCAGGTGGGACCAAGACCAAGAGAACTGTCTAGGCAGAGACTCAACGTGCTGCAGCCAGGAGTAGCAGCCGACACCCTTCATCTTCAGAGCCCTGCCGTTTATGACCATGGATCTCTCCCTTCCGTGACACCCCATCTGCCACCAAAATGGGCTTCTCAAGGACTGTCTTCCCTTACGACGTGGTTGGCACTGAATCGGGGGTGAGGGGTAGGGGAAATGCAAGTCCTCTGGGCAGGCAGTTAGGGTTGTGGCTTAAAAAGGCTCCCCAAGAGAGGGCTTAGAGGACTGTCTACCTCGTCTCTTCTTTCTTGCTGCTAACAGGCTAATCCTTCTTCAGACCCAGAACCCCCAAGTGCTAAGAGACAGCACTGCTTCCCAGCTGCCTCCTGCGAGTGCTCCACTCTCCTGAACGGGAGATGATGGAAGGATGAGACAAGTTTGCTTCCAGAAAGAAAATGAAAGCGGGTATATCAGTGCATTGCACAAACCGAGCAGACCCGCCCCCACTAAGGTTTGCAAAGGGCTGTTAATTCCACCTTCCGCGTGGGCATGAGGCTGGCCACCAATCCAGCAGGCCCTCTTGCCCAGTAGCCTTGGCAAATGTGAATTTGGGAGTGACAGGTCTGAATGACGGTGAGGAGACTGGCTGGATGTATGTTCAGAGGGCTCAACTCAATCTGGGGATCTGAAGGTAGAAGCCAGCCTTCAGGAAACTTTGCTCAGCTGGAGAATGTGGGGACAGACCAGGGGACAGTGAAGGAAGAAAGAGGGTGAGGGTTGATTTCAGGGACGCTGGTGAGGTTCTTCTGTGGTTCCTGCAGCCCCAGCATTGGTGATGTTGTCTTTGGGTCTCCAAGGCTTTTGGCATTGCTTATTGGTGAAATAAAGCACCGGGGAGGGCTAACGAAGTTACCTTTCTTAGCTCAGAGCTTCCAACGAATGTAACTGAGCTAGGGCAAGACAGGGGCTATACGTGTTGGAAAGATCTCTTAGACACTGGGGAGCCATACAAAACAGGGAAACTCTTCTATTATAACTATTATTTTGCTAACAATTGGCCCTGGTAATTAAAGGAAAAAAAATGTCCTGACTAAAAATATGAGCCTGTAAGGAAGAAACATAAAATATTTGAGCCTGGCCTTGACAAGGTGGCAGCCTGTCCACTCTGGAACTCAGTCTCAGAGTTGGTAATAAACCACAAGCCACACAAAACTATCTACGCTCTGCATCCTTATTTGTGGGCACCTGTGCAAAAAGCACCTTGATAGATGTTTTCTAATATAACAGACCACCAAAGATGGCCAATAAATGTCTTTTCAAGTGTTCTTGATCAGCAGGTAATTGCTGTTGGGAGTGATGCAGTAAGGAGCTTTCTGAAGTTATTTTTGGTCCCCATAGAGAAAAGGGCTATAGCTGATCAATAACGCCTGCCTTGGAAGCACAATGAGAGGGTCAGCACCTGTGCCTGGTAGTTCCCGTTCCTGTGCTAGGCTTGGTTTTTGTGGGTTGTCTTCTCTAGACTTGAGATGACTTGATTTATAGCAATCGTTTTGTGACGCATCTAGTTTAGACCCTACCATCGCCTCATCTTCTCAGTTCCAGGTCTCAGGAAGTATGTCAGAGGGAACCATTCTCTCCACCTCCTCCTGTATTCATCTCTCCCCATGTTCATCCAAAGGAGTGGAAGGTAACTAGCTGGAAAGAGGCAAAGAGGGCCCCAAAGAGGTGGAGGCTTCCACATGCATTTGACTAACTCACTCTGAATGTTTGGAGGCTGAATGTGGGGCAGTGGGAAGGGTTGCCCACCCATGGGTGTGGACGGGGGCACTGGCAGACGGAAGACGGGAAACATGATGACCATGTTGGGTGTGGGGGACAGAGGCTGGGAACTTTTGGACTTCCCTCTGATGGCCCCTTGGAGCACAGTCGAGACTGATCACATCCACGATGATGCTCTGTTCCAGCAGTACAGCTACTCGGGGCCACCGAGAGGTGCTCAGGACCAGAGCCCCCTGTAGCCTGGAGGTGCAGGAAGGCTTGGTTAATGAGAATAACTCGAGTCCCTACAATTCTAATAGTCTCTGGATGACTCCAACATCATAGAAATTTAACACTGTTCCACTTGGTTATAAAATGTAACACTGGCTTAAACATTCTGGACTCTCAGTGAGGGTTCCAGCATCTTAAGTCCCTCAACTCCCTTCCAGGACGAGAAGCCCAACCATAGAGTACAGAACTTCTCACCACGCGGGCCAGTGGGGCTCTCTCCTGGGGAAGGGCTGGGAATGAGGAGCTGTGGGGAAATGCGGGTCACTCTTAAGGCAGACTGTTTGGTTGTGTAGGGTTTTTCCTAACCTAGTCCTACCATCTTGGGGTCCTCAAATGTATAGGATAGAGCAGCAGGAAAAGTAGCAGCAAATGTGGTCCCAAGGCAAGATTTGGGGAATGGGTGGGTTCTGGAGGGATATTGTGGCCTCATGCCTCAAGCCTCAAGCAGGGGCCTCTTATAATACCTTGCCATTGCAATCCTAAGCCATTCCCAGCTTGGCCTCAAACCCTGGAGTTGGGGTAAATCCCCCACGGCAGCGGAAAAATCAGGGGGCTTTGTATATTTTGGGTTCTATACCTCTTCCTGGGTCCTACTTTCCTAGAAGGTAGGTGCTCAGAGACCATTTCACTTCCGGTCCCAAAGGACCGCACCAGTGTGCACGCCCTACGTATTCCAAGCCTCAGGGTGTGAACGCTCTTGGCATCTCAACACTTGGTCTTAGCAGTTTTCTGCAAAACTCTCTTTCTCCCAAGGACAGTGTTGGCTAGGAGCTTGGGAAAGGAAAGATTGACTTTGTTCCAGTCTCTCTCTGCTCAGTCTCCAAAACTGCCCTCACACAGATGTTTGTATGGGTGTGTATGCATGCATGTGTACTAACCACAGATGTGCACACTCCTAGATACAGAACATGTTTCTCGTGGTGGTCGTGTGACAAATGGTTAGACTTTTAGGAGGCTCTGAGACTGCACGCCTGTATGTGTAATCCATCTAAGACTTTGGGATGGTTCCATTCCATTACTCAACATGGCGAGACTTGGTTCATGCGCCCCCACTAGGAGTCCTTCCTGGGTGAAATTAAAGGCAAACCGGTTGGATGCTAAGGATCCCTGGTGTGGAGAGGCCATTCCATTGAGCAGCTGACTGTGAAATCAATACCAAAGGGATGCAGGTCCTGGCGCTGGGAATTCTTGGACAACTCCTCTTTCCTTAGCCGTGGCTGTATCCCCGGAGGTCTTTCCGGCTGTGTTCTCGGGCCTGGGGGTCCCGACAAGCACAGTCACCTTGTAGGTCACAGGACATAGGGAAGGGGGTGACCTGCAGAGAGAAAGAGAGAAGAGGTGAACCAGATGGTTGTGTCCTAGGCAATAATTTTCAGAGAGGCAGGGCAGGGGACAATCACTGGATTCAAGTTCAGGTCATGGCTCTGCTTCTTTCTAGCCCTATGATACCTTTTATCAAGATGATCATGGTCCTTATCCAAGCAGCTTTCATTTTCAGTGGCATTTATTATGGGTCAGGCAATGTGCTACACACTTTCCAAACAGGGAAACATCAAGCCCTTTGACAATACCATAAGATAGGTACAAAAACAATTACCCTTTACAGATGGAGAAACTGAGTCTCAGAAAGGGGCAGGCATTCGCCCAAAGTAATAAGTAACAAATCTTGTATTTCAAGTAGGACGAGCCCCCTCTCCCTAACCCTTAGGGGCTCCTAGGTATAGAACTGCGATGACCTCTTGAGCTGAATGAAATCATGGGTGAAAAATCGTAATGTACTCTCCCAGAGCTGGTTCATAGAATTGACAATGGAATATCAAGTGGGACTGTGGAGGTGATCAAGTGAAATAAAGGATGTGAAAGCATCTTAAGAAAACACAGCTCTCTGCACAGATTGGTAATTTCAATGTTGGGGGGCAATGATGAAAATCACAGAAGCATGTCTCAGCAAGCTCAGAGCTAGGGCACCTGAGATCCCGGGGGAGGGGGGGCAATTCACATAGACATACTGCATACAACTTGGTTGAAGGACCTGGGGAACAGACTTTAGCATAAGAAAAAGTGAGAGGCATACAATGTGATTTGCTCTATGTATGTATTCCCAAAGCTGGGAAAAATCAGAAATTATAATTGTAAAAAAGTTTAAAAAGAAAAAGCGAGAGGCCTGAGTTTCAGTTCCCACTCCATCCCCACATGCTCAGTGACCTTGAGCCGCCTTCCTTTCTAGAAACAGAGACAGAACCCAGCAGAGCGAACGTCTTCCCCACGCAGCCGGAGATGTGTCTTTCCAAAGAGCACAGTGCAGGCCCTGCCGAGCCCAGGCTGGGCTAACGCAAGCCAAGTGGATTTCACCTCATTGCATCATGACATTTGCATATCGCTTCCCCAGAGGGTCCCCCATCTGCGCAGATGGACTGAATGACCTCATTCGCCTCCTGCCTGGGCAGGGTCTTCGAGTGCTCGCGGAGCCTCAGAGAGCATTTTGACTCTCTAGCTTGTGGATTCATTTTCTCTCTGTATCTAACTGTTTTCTCTCTGCCTCT